CACTATCTCTAAGAGGGGATGGTGTGGAGAACTCAAAATCATGTATTCTTTGTGTGCCTGTCTCAATCTTGGAGCCCGACCTTGGTTGTTGTCTGTTATATCTGTTTTTCAATCATTGTTGTAGTATAATATTTTTAAATTGTTACACATTCTGTGTCATCCGGGGACCTTTAAAGCTTACTATACAGTATGGGTTTTGCTCATTATTGTAATTTTTCACATCTTTGTCTTAATAATATTCAACTGCCTAATATGAATCTGACTGAATCTGTTGAAATAAAATTTAGCTCAGAACTGCTAACAGCCATAATTAAATAATATCGTGGAGATATCATCATGAAGGCGACTACATGTAAATAGTTGAATATCCAACGTACCCACAAATTAACTTCCGCTGTCGGTTGATAGATTTCCTGTCGTGGGGTAATTGTTATAATTAATCACAACACTTCAACTATATAAAACCTATATATTATTTTCCAAAGAGGTAGCGTCGGAAAAGCAAACCGTTTTGTTTTATCCGTTTTACGTCATAAGGGAAACTCATAAAATACCAATAATATCATGTCATGTATCAACGTTCAACAATAACTTATAAATCTTATTTAAATGTCAACACCATAGAGTATAATAAATGTACACGAACATGCAATGGAAACATTGATTCATAAATGAACCACTACATGGATATTTTTTATGCAGTAATGATTACATAGCGTAGAAGTTTCATACGATTTCGTTATTTTGATTTCCCGCTGCATTTCAAAAGTTATATTTTATTTCCGTATAAAATGCAACATCTGTATAAATCAGAAGATGTGGTGTGAGTGCCAATGAGACAACTCTCCATCCAAGTCACAATGTATAAAACGTTAACAATTGTAGGTCAAAGTACGGCCTTCGACATCTATGACTGCATGTGCTCTCCATTACAATTTTTAAACAATGTATTGAAAAACAAATAAAAGGCTTAATTTAGTCGACGTAGTTGCATGATTGTAGCATAAAACAGTTATTATAATAGTTGAATCTTTCTTTTCGTAATTTTATTTGGTTGTAAAAGCTTTGAACATGCGTTCATTTTTAATATGAAGCGTAGAAATGTGCCTCGATCAACGCGTTTACACCCAATAGAATTACAAAAAAAGCTTTTAATTCTTAAATGTTATTCACGTTTTATGTTTGTATTGTATCAATCAAAGGTCTTGTTATATTATCTTTTATTTTACAGCACCTTCTATAAGTAGTCAAAATATGATGTGTCATATTACCAAAACGTAGCCAGTCAAACATTTTAACTGAGTCTGAGAGCAAAACATATTTGTGATAATGGTTAATACATAAATGAATACAATTAACAGCATAATTTGGACAAATTTGTCATAGAGTAAACGAGTTTATGCCAACCTTGATTATAGATGCTTTCTTATTTCTCTAAGGGTATCTAACATGAAGATGACTTTGCGTATTTATTTGATATACTCTGAATTATACATGTTATAGATGTCTCTCTCTGACCGGTATTACTGACAAAAGGCGACACTTCTAGTCCATAGAGAAGCATACTCATGATAATTATCCTTGTGGTGGAGACATAGTTATAATATGTTACTGTATATGAATGAATATACAATTTTCCTATATATAAAAAAAAGTACACTAGACAGTTCATTATAATATGTTTAATATGAATACCATGTTGGTTATCTTAATGCAAGTAGCATACATTCATACATAAAACAAAATTTTGGTAAACGAATTCATACAGCAATCCAACAACACAAATACACAAAGAAATAAACCTGTTAATTTCAGATTTCAAAGATGCAATTTTGAATTTCGTTTTTCGAAGAATCGGGTTCAATATATAAAATTTCTGACAATGACGCCTTTTAGTAACGATTATTTCACTGAGGTTGACGCTAAATGTGGAAGTGTGTAGTCATGAATGACGGATATTAAAAAGTTTGTTGTATCTGTTCTAAAAATATAGGTATGACAGTTGTGTACCTCTTAGTCCAGTAGACAGAACTTTGATGATTAGATACACTTCATCTTAAAGGAGGATACTTAAACCATTTTATTATAATCTGAATAATTTATAAAATAACATTCAATCCTTTAGTCCCCCCCCCCCCCCCCCCCCCTTTTCTGTATTTTGTTTTCTTTTACATTTTCACTGTCTTCGATATCCTTGTATATTTGTCCATTAAAATATATGTCTTTCTACATTTTGTGTCGTTACAAACCTGATGATATCCATGTTATTCAGGTATTTATAGCGTAATGATGTTTTACTAAACATATATAGACTGAATACTCATTTTCCGCTAAAGTTTGTTTTCAGTGTTTTCTTCTTAACAGAACTTCTGAAAAAAATCTCCTTTATAATCGTTCCACAGTAACCAATAAAACTAAATGAGAAATGTATACAAACAATGCAATTTATTCATTTACACATCTAGAGTTTGCTCGTGGAGATTGGTTTAGTTTTTTTCGCATGGTTTTCACGTTTGATATCGTATGGTATTAGTTTTACCGCAAGTATGATTTCTGCTGTTACAAACACTTAATTAATATTATACATTTCAACTGAGACAGAGACCGTAACATTAGTAGAGAAATGATTACAATTATGGCGTAATTTGTAGAAACTTGTCAAATGTTAAACGATTATAATCTAAAAAGCACTTTGTATGAATTTTTATTTCTCTAAGGGTACATTCTATTTATATCTATATTCATTTACTTCACTGTGAAGTGTGCAGTATTGATGGATGTCTCCCCTTGATTGATATAATAGAAAAAAAAATTTTTTAATCCACAGAGGAGCATAATGTATGTGGTAAAGAATTAATAAAAATATCAATGATAATTATTTAATAATGTTCCGAAAAAATCAAAAAGATATTCCATAATAATGTTTGAATTTGAAAAAAATGTCTATGAAATAGTTTAGTTTAAACATATTATATTGTTCAAAAGGACAAATTGACCAGACACAAGTTTTCCTACTTCCTAACGTCTTCTCCATACATAAATATAAACATGAATAAATATTACATATATCATTCTTGAACAAATATGTTTTTTCTATGAGATAGCAACCGACCATCACAAAGTACAACTACTCACATACAAATGGGAAATCATATAAAACAAAATTAATTCATTTATTATTTCATAAAAAAAGGTTTGAGATTGATAAAAAAAACGATAATTTTAACCGGCTTTTTGTGTTCTTACAAATTGTAAGTTCTGGTAGTCATGGTAGTGATGCGGTTTATAACTGTCTAACTCATAGAACTCCTTTACTGTCTATTATCTAGGGATTCACTTAATCTAATCTGGACCATTACACAACATGTAATTAAATTAGCAAATTTCCTGTCTTGGCGTTATTATGAGTTTTCTCTGTAATTTACTAAAAATCATGACTACCAGTAAACTTTCTTAGGAATATAAATATAGAAAAATACGTAACCGAAATGTTGTATAGTAATGTGTTTATGAGTATTGCAAAGTATTTTATCATTTATCAGGACTGTTTTTCGAATTGTGCAAAAAGCAAACCAATTGTTTACCGATGGCTAATGAGATTAAACGTTAAGTTACTTAGCCTTAATGACTCTTTTCAAAAGTTATGTAACTTTGTAAATGTTTTCCCTTTGTGGGTGTGTAGTGGGTTAGGGGTTGGAAAGGGGGGACACCGTTAACATATGCAAAACACTATACAACATCTAGAGTTTCACTCGATTTAAGTTTGTAATTGGTATCTCTTTTACGCTCAGCGAGTATTTCATTTCTGTTTTTTTAAACATTTTGATTAAAAAACGATATGGGATAAACGCTAATTATTTAATTCCCCACTCTACTTAAAAAAAGGGGGGGTATATAGTTTTAAACCCGTCTGCAAGTTTGTCCGTCAGTCATTTTTGTTTCCGGATACTGACATCAATACATTATGTCGGATTATACCTAGTATGCTTAGATATGTGGTCACATAAAATAAGGTGAAAATCCTTATTGAATGTGAGGTCACTACGTCCAAGTTCAAGGTCAAAATTACTACAAATAGACTAAAAATTTAAGCAGGAAACTTGTGGCCGCATGTAAATTCAAATACTACATAAGAAATTGCAACCATACTTGGATATGTGGTCACATATAAGGATAGGAAGCTTAAGATCCCTATGGATTTTGAGGTCGCTTTGTTCAAGGTCAAGTTTAAGGTCATAGTTACTAAAAATAGACTAAAAGCTATTCGGAAAATTACTACACATGAGATTTCAACTTTATTTGCATGTATATATATGGTCACATATAATGGAAGCGTATTCCTATTGATTTTGAGGTCACCAAATCGAAGAACTAGGTCAAAGCTTCTAAAATAGTTTGAAATTTTGTACAAAAATGGGTTTAAAATTTTTATCAAATGCTACACATGAGATTACATCCTTAATTGGTTATATGGTCTCATATAATAAGAGGAAGATCCCTATTGATTATTAAGTCCTCCTCCCTATTGATTATTAAGTAACTAGGTATAAGGTCAAGGTCAAAGTTACTAAAATTGATTTTTGTATCACAACTGCCTGAAATCATGACCAAAAAGGATAATATCTTTTAAAAAAAAAACAGAAAAAAACTATGACATATGGTCATTAAAAGATGGTGCGCTTCATGTAAAAAAGGGGTACGGGCAGGCGTTGGGTATATAAGCTTGCCCACTAAAGTTCCGTTCTTTAATTAAGACAACAACCTAGTAACACAAGATCTGACAAAATAATTGACCACTACGCACCAGATATGGGTGTACATGTTTTAAATACGACAAACAATTATTTCTTTTATAAATAGCTATATGTATGGTACAATACAATCAGTACTTATATATCTAAAGAACAATAAATGTACATAAAATGTAAAAAGATATTTCACATCAACAACAGTATAAATAAAGAGATGCAGTATGTATGACTGCCAATAGACTCCAGCAGAGACGAAGGAACGATTGATTGATTAATTGTTGGTTACTTAACGTCCAGTGGCAAATATTTCATGAATGTTCAGGACGAACAAATGAACGATGATGCTAACAACCATATTGCACCGCATGGTAGTATTTCTTCAATAATTAACTACATTCTGCTACGTTTAGTTTATGTTTATAGCGCACTGCTACTTAATCCGGTGGATGCTGTACGTCTGCTCGTTCTTGTCCTGCTGTATCCACTAAAAGACATCCTAGTTTTATCATACAGACTGATCACACGTTTGTTACAGACATACGAAATGAATATGAACACACCTTGTAAAGCGTTCAAAAGGGAAATAATCGTTGAAAAGGCTGAGACTGGTAGGAAAGAATCGATAATTTGAAAAATCCAAGTAATTCCAGTTATAGAAAATAATTTCACATACACGGTGAATTGAATTTGATTTAGTTTCATCTGAAAATCGTTTTTCAATTTTGGCCTTTTGGCTATTTTATAAGTTGTCGCAATGAAGAAGAAAATATCTGTACAGCAAACGAGACTTATCGGAACTGCGAATGTAACAACGTATGCGATTGGTTGGTTCAGAAAACAAATTCGACCTCCGTATCCAATTGACGTAACGCTTGATAAACTTCTTGTTATAATAATATTTGATAATACAATTATAGCCGGTGTCCCATAAGAATATATAATGTAAATAACCAGTCTAGATGTTTCGGATATACGTACGACAGTTTTGCTTGTAAACACGCGGTACATATGGAAAGAACACACACTGAGACAACCGAAAGTAACCAACCAAAAATAATGTATCAAAACACCGATCACTTTACATCCAATGTCGGATTTTGTACCAAATTCTACAAACTGAAACAATAATTGCGCACAAAAAATTGCAAACACTAAACATACATTGTTTTTTCCTGGAAGTGTTCTCAAACTTGGAAAAATGCAGTAAGTTAAAAATGTTAAAAATAAACATAAAAGCGATATGCAGGTGAAAACCATTGCCACTATGTTCCCTACATCAGCAGAATTGAAATGTATCCTACTTGCACTCAAAGTCTGCAGACGATCTATGCATATTCTAGCTTGTCTAGGTGATATCAGAATGTACTCGTCTCGCTCAATTACAGCTTTTCTTGAAAGAACAGTTAATTGTAAGTTTTTTACGTTTATATTGAATTCTGTATAGTTTAACTCGATTTGTTCACAAATCAAAAGTTGAATCACATGTGAATGAACGTATAATCTTCCTGTGTACGATTCCGATGTTTCTTTAGTATAGCATTTATCAGTGAATTGAAATCTTGAAACTAAAGTCGGTAAATTGAAAGCATTTTCATCACGATGAATTAAAAATGGCTGCTGGAAATCATTGTATGTAACATTAAATGTTGATCCTAACAATGAAACAAGTGTTTCCTCCGTCATTGAACGGTTGACATAATCCTGAATAAAAAACTTGTGATAAACTAAGACCAAAACAGTAATTCCTTTGCCTAATTTGTTAGGTTGACTGTCCGAACAGTATAGGTTGGAATAAATGATGGAAGTTTCAAAGTCAATGAACGACAGCCACAAGCGATTCTTTAGAAAATCTTTGAAATATTCACCAACTGACTCTAAGAATGGCATCGTATCATTAACATCCGAAACCAAAATAGCTTTTAATCCTGCATATAAAATGTATCCCAGGTTTGCTGTTGTTTGGAACAGAGGTGTACATCCTGTGTCGATATGCATTCTACCAGGATAACAAAGTATATCACGACATTCATTCTGAAATGATCAAGTAATGGTTAAGGTACGACCATTTCAAATTAAGGAGAATTTTTAAAATGAATATTCTGAGATCAACAAAATACCATTGTCCAATACAGAATGAAAATAAATATATAACACAAAAAAATTCAGGAAATAAATGTGTACAAATTTATAAAACTAAGAAATACTCGAAAAAGTTGAAAATAATGAATACTCCTTCAGAAAAAAATCCTCCTCCGCCCTTTTCAGGCATTTGATATCGATTACAGATCTTTTGATAGTCACTGTTGAAATTAGCCTCAACTATTCTAACCTAAGGGCAATTACGTCTTCTGGCTTAGTATATTTTATTGACGCTTGTTTATGGTTGAAGACCGGATTTAACCTCAAATATCTCTTTGTTATTTGAGTTGCAGTCTAATTGTCAAATATCTCATTCTTCCTTTTATTAATATCGTGGTTAATTGAAAATATAATATAAAGTTTCTGTGCACGATTTAAGAAATAACAGTACTGTTTTTGAAAAGCTGAGGAGTCGCCTCGGACGCATGACATTTATAAAGTGTTGTTTTCAATTTTTGCCACTGTCAAATCCAGATTGATGGTGGCAACTATTCAAATATAATACCGTTATTCCTCTTCAAATGCAATACTCTTAAAATGTTCAAAATTAAACATTTCAAATATACCGTAGACGTCCACTACGATTGTTCACTGGTGTATCCAATGACTCCGACCGTCAACTGTGGAATTAATGGCAGACGTCATCCAATCGAAATTGGCGTTACATCCCTAATCGCATTAAAACTAGCAATGACACTTTTCTTATTGTAAATAAAGGGTCAGGTACATAGCAGACTTATCAATTTCTAACAGCCTTATATAATGGACTGTATCTTATGACATGCATTTTTCAATTTACCTGGAAGCATCTGTGTACAGAAAAGCCATCATTTTTCAAAGTTGAATGAATAATTGCCTACTTCCTAAAAAATCACTGTTCGCGTCAAACTAAGAAAGTTGGTGAAGACTGTAATACACTTCAAAGATCTTTTAATAATTTTGGTATTCATGGAATCATGTTTGCTGCTAGTGACAATTTTGATACAATATTGTTAAGGATGTTCGCTCTTTTTGTTTTTGACTTTTTGTCAGATATTCGGAATCCTCTGTCTTTATATAAGTAGTGCCATTAAAAAATTTCCCCGCTCACCCGTACTTTTATTTTCATAATTTTATTCCATATAATTAAGAAAAATAAAAAAGCCATTTCTGAAAATCTTATAAAATCTTTGTCATTTTTTCATAGTTTTCAGTAGAAAAAAAAGGTGCGATGTTAAATATATAATCAAAGTACTGAAGTACTGAACATCGTATACCCAACTATATCAGTCATATTCAGGACCGATAACTCTGTCGATAAATATTGGCGGGGATATAATGTTGTTGAAATGTATACACAATACCATCTTTTTGTACACAAGTTAAAATTTCAATTTCGATTTTTTTTAGTGCCTGGATTTTGCTTAAAATATTAAATTGATAAAATAAATAACAAAAATTAAAATCATATGCAATGAAATCTCGTTTAATTTTCTATGAAATAAAAAAAAATCTATTTAATATTAGATTTGAATCAGAATATTTCTTTAAAGCAATTATCGTGAAACATTAATATTTGATTAATTTTTAAAGCAAAAATCAACTTATTAAAGAATTTTTCATAATATATATATTTTCATAAAGTTCTTTATGATATATATTTCTTCTGTTGTGTACACGGGGAAGTGAATATATTTATTTGTACGTTTATGAAAACTTTTGTATATCACAAAATCTAAACTCTGGAAATGCATGTATACACAGGATGTTAATGTCACCTGGTTGCTTTTGGTTTGACACGATTCTTTAATTTTACACTACCTGACAATTTATTGTTATGTAACATTATAACCTAAGTCAGAGTTCACCTGTTCGTCAAGGGACATTAGTTTTTAAAAGGTATATAGAATATTTATCTATAATAATTGTTGGGCATTATTTTTTTTTCTCTTGGGACGAAAACATTTTTTTTTCTAAAAGGAATATATATATTTATACTTTTCTAAATAAAGATAGCTATACATAAAACAGGGGAAATACCTTAAAAAAAAGGAGCGAAAAATAATTTTATTATTAATTTCAGTGTTAATTATTTTCTGGGAACAGTATATCTTGTATATCTGTCAAAATAAATGTTCCCGTGTTAATTTTTACACTTCACACTTGAAATAGTTTATTTTTCATCAAGACATTTTGAAATCAATCATATCGAAATATCATTTAAGAAAATAACAGAAACAGCACAAATTCTGCATGAAAATACACGATGATTAAAATTAATGCGATATTTCCAAACATCCGCCATTTTGAAAAAATCCCGAAAAATCACTTTTTTAAATCGATGTGGGACGTAATTTGCTCTAAAATTAAATTGTTTTAAGTAGAGTATTTCGCCGGATATATGTTTAAATATACTCAATCGATTTGCAAAGTTTGACTTTTATTTACGGAATTTCTCAATTTGATGTACAAGTAGACATGGGTATCGGTAGATTTAACATTAAGTCAACGGGGAAATGACGAGAAAAAGTGCATTTTTTAGGATTCTCCAGGGACGTAATTTAATCAAAACTTAAACTGTCAGGACCAACATTGTTTGGTAGAAATATGTTTGAATATGAAGGATTGATTTGAAAAAGTTAGAAAACGGGTCAGATTAATGAGAAAATTGAATTTTATTGAAGCACCTATGCAATTTAAATGAGACAAAATAATTCAAAATGGCGGCTCGCTATACGGTCACCAAAGTCACGTGATGTCTTACTTAAATGGATATGGGATGACCGCAAGTTGTTGTGGATAGTCACAAGCACTTGTCTCAGAAAAAAAATCACATCTGTATACCTGAAAGTGAGGTTAATGTACAGATATATATTTTTTTCTGAGACGAATTCGTGCGTGGATGATGAATAAATGACAGGGAATTCAACGTCACCGTAATAACTATTATATTGTAGTGATACAAATCAGTATATTGTGGTTTGTTGTCATGTATATATTATATTAATGTTTGCATATAACAGTTACATGTATATATAATTTTCATCCATTTGTATATCATTCTATTCCACTATTCTAATAATAGTGCAGTGCAAGTGCATGGTGGACACTCTTCGATTTTTCTAATAAATTGGATTTGAGCAGGCATTCATATTTTCCCGCAAAAAAGCTGATTTATATTGCCGCAATTTGTGCTGTGTACATACTATTTTTTATTAATATCTTTTAATATTTTAACGCAACAAAGACATTATAAACCCTTATTTAATTCACCTTAACTAATTTTATTTTTGAATTATATTCTATCATATTGTAAATATAAAGATATCCGCTTTTTCTGTTAAGTAAATATTTTAGAATTGCTCATCCGATAAGTGGAGTGCTCCGACTGTAAACGGAGGTACATACCTGAACAGAACAGAACAGAACAGATATTCTTCCGCATGCCTTAACACAATTTTTCTGTACGTGTTCATAGATCTTATCAATGATTTTTTACTTATATATATATTTCTAACGACAAAACATTTTCATATTAATATTTTATGTTCTAAACAAAAATATTTTTATGAGTATTCATTGAAGAAATGAATTTATAACAAGCGATAAGGAATTATGTTATTTTGCACTCGATAATGTCCGCGTATATAGATCGGTTACCAGTCAAACATGAATGTTACGTAAGTAGAAATCTCGTCGGCAACATCGGAATGCCCTCACGGTCATCGCGGTGTAAAAATCTAGAGAGAATCATATACTGCCAAATTTTAAATGACATATTAACAAGGACACGGACCATTAATTTTTTTTCTGCTTTTTTAGTTCTGTTATTTATATACTACATTTTTTAAAATTCTTCAAAATAGTTTGTTATTTTGAAACAGAGCAGCGAACATCCTTAAGGAGAAGTTATGACAAGACCACATATTTGGCTGGTTTAATTTTAAAATGTATTTTAAAATATCTATCGAATAACATCATTCAGATATTCTGACGGTTATCCGCATTCATGTTTTTTTTAATTTAGACTTGCATGTACATGTATGTTTCCCTAACTCTAATATTATCGTAGTATATCGTCATTAATATCATTAAAACAATTATAAAATCTATTGGGTATATACAATACATTTCAGTTTTTATAAAATATTATAGATCAATATATGAAAGAAAATACTTGTAGCAAAAAATTATATCAGTGTCACGTGTCACGTGTTTAAAACAAAATCACGAGCTGGTACTCTCAGAACCAAATCTTTGTGAAAGCGGTTAATCAAAAAAATAATGATCTCATCAGAATACGAGTAAGTATTTAATTTGATAACTTTATAGTGTTAGTTTGCTGTAGTTGTAGTTTTGATATGTAAAAGTTGCAAAAATGGCAATGTGATCCGCGCCGAATAAATAATCGTCCCTCCTTACAATTGGAAAATGTACGTCAAGTCATGTAAAAGAGAATATACTGTTACTTACAAGAAATAATATCTGACTTGCGTTACAGCTGGGTGTATGTCCTTTGTGTTTTGGGGATTGCTTGTAGTTCGAAAGCTCAAATATAAGTCTAAATGTCGGTGGCATGAATTCTGTCTCTATAATATTAACATATGTTTCGCTTTGTGTTCGACCTGCTATTATGTGCGTAACTTCTTCTTGGTTACATATTTCACAAAACTTGTTTTTGTATGGTGCAATGTATTCAATGCTTGGCATACTCAAACAATACTCCTCTGTGTCTTTGTCATAGTTCTCCCAAAGACCTGTAGTGTTACATTCAGAATATTCTACCTTGTGTTTTTGTTCCGGATTACACATTGCGCAAAAGACACTCATTTTTGAATTGTACAAATTCCTAGGCATATTTACATTCTCACAAGCAAACTTTATATCCTGGTCGCCATGCATCCAGTTCCCGGAAACATTACAGTGTTTGTCTTCTCGGTCTTCGCAGTTAACATTGGTATATTCAGATGGTTTGTATTTTACAGAACATCCGTTTTCTTTTAAAAACCGAAAATAGTCTTCGAATGACAAAAAGAAAAATGGCGGCAAATACACATTACAACGAATATTTAAGTCCCACATGGAAATAGAATTTAAAATTTGTGAATCGGACTGATTAAGTCCGTCACTACACAAAGCACAATATATGTTTTTAAAATGTGTATAACTTTCAGCAATCTGAATTTCTACTGGTAGAAAAGTAAAGAATTTGTTAATGTCGCTTATACTACACAACTTTTCCAACTTCATGCTCATGGATTTAGTGCATGTATCAAAAACTAAATATCCGTTCTTCTGGTCAGAATATTGTGGATCAGTACATGTAGTCGATTTTTGAAAGTACTTGTCTATACAACATCCTGATTGGAAGTAGCAACTATCGCTGCAATCGCAATCGGACAACCTCGAGAAAAATGAATAATTTTGACAAAACACAGGAGAACCAGTAAATGCAAAATATTGTAGCATTATACTTGTTTTGTTCAAATTGTAGAAGTCTTTATCTTGAATTATTTTTATTTTTTTCGTTGCTTTTGTTTCAGGGTTGGTATCTTTTATATACTTCGTTCCACTATCAATAATCGATTCAAGGTTTAAATCCAAACTTTTTAACTGAAACACGAATTCACTTTTATTTTTCATTTTTTCTTCAATAAAGTATACTAGTTCCTTAAAATGCATGTTGTGTGTTTTATTTCTGTCATTTATATTACATAAATAACAGTAAATATTTTTGAATGGTGTTGTTAAAGGACTGTGTATGTTATTTAAGCATGCCTTTTCTAAATCAGCACTGAAAGCTTTCCATAAACCTGTCGCATTGCATTTCGAGATAACTTCACCTATAGTTAAATCATTTGGCGGATTACACAGATGGCAAAATACATTTTTGAAAAAATAAAATTTATTGTCATAAATTCGGCATGCAAAGTCTATATCAGCATCATAATGTTTCCATGTTCCTGAAACATTACATTTACTTATAGCATCATCCCGTATAGAATTATCTTCACATGTGTTAATATGAAGTCCATAAATTTCTGCGCTTGAATAGAAAATGTCACATTTCTTCTCTTCGGCATAGTCGAATATTTCTGAATAAGAAGAAAGAAAATTGAAATCGGCAAAGTAAGCACACTGCATTTCTATTTTCCACTGATGTATATCTCGGAGAGACTCATTGTGGCACACTGAACAATGAATATTTCTGTAAGTAAGTCCGCTTTTGTTAGAATATACGGGAATGTTTTGAAATTTTTTAAGAAGGCTATTTGACATTTCGCATTTCATTTTTGTTGTATTGTCCGAGGACACAGGACAATGACTGATCATTGCTATTGATTTTTCGTTCGGAATTGGGTTCAAATCCAAGAGGCTTGTTTCTATACACGATAGACGAAAACGAAAGTAGTGATCTGGGCAACAATTCTTGTGAAATATGCATATATCATCACATATGCATTCTGGACAATATTCTCTAATCATTTCATTAGTGGAATCAGACCTTTGTGGTCCACAAACTTTATTCCCACATCTTGCTCTATATGCATTCATAACATACGAAAGCTCCAAGCAATATACGGAGACGACGGCATATGTTGATATCAACTGTAACTTAGTGGTTTGATGAAAACTTTTCATTTTAAATCTGAAAAAAGAGAAAAAATATTTGAATATACCAATAAATCACTTTCGCTCTACATGGTGCCTCGGAAAAGCATTGGTGGATACAGATCTTACCCCCAAATTTTTTTTTAAAAATACACTGGAACCTTAAACTACAAACAAATGAAAATAAGCGTCTCTATACTCGCAGAACTCTAAGGTCTAGCGTTGCCAAGAGCTATGCTAAAGGACTATTCAGATATCATCAAACATTGTCCTGTCTTTGTGGTGATGTGTTTTTTAAATTTTATTTAATCGGATATTGGATAATTTTAATTGCGTACTCTTGTAACGTAATAAAATCCAGTCATCAAAATATCACCAGAAAGCAAAAGATACGCTCTTCCCGTTTCAAGTTCGACTAAAATATTAATATTGTTTACATACAATTAATCTGTTTCATCAATCAAAACAATATCGGAAAGAATGCTAAATGCTTCTGAACCGTTATTACAGCTGTACTATGACGCTACAAAGTCACAGAGCGACACGTTAGCGTGTGTTCATGGACCATGACGATATTAAAAATAAAAGGAATCGCATACCTTCAAATAAATTGAAACATAAAGTTTTTTTGATTATCGAAATTTTAAACAAACGAGGTTAATATTTGGAACCAGTTGTTGGCATGATACGGGTTATGTTCTTCTCGTATAATTTATAATGGCATGATACTAAATCCCTAACCGGAGGGATTGTGGTTGATTTTCATATGATGAAGACAATCTTTCGATCAGTTTAGTTGAGTTCTGGAGCTGGCATATCAGTAACTGCTAGTAATCCTTGTTAATTTATGTTGACCATTATCATTTTGTTGAGTTTCTTCTGTTACCTATTCTAACATCGGACTCGGACTTCTTTTGACCTGAGTTTTGATGTGCGTATTACTGTGTGTTTGTTTATTTTGGGTTCATTTGTATGTTTCAGAATTAAGTGTGGCTCCCGTTTTGCTGAACTAGTATACATTATTGTTTAGATAGGGGCCTGCTGAAGCCCGTCTCAAGAAGCGGGATTTTTCGCTGCGTTGAAGACCCATCGGTGTCCTTGGGCTGTTTTCGGCTCTTTGGTCGGGTTGTTATCTCTGACACATTCCCTGTTTCTGTTCTCTATTCTATTGGAATATTTGTCATATATCGGGAAGCGCATAGTTTTTTTTCCACTTGTACATTTTTAAGGGTTCACTGGGTATAGAAATATGGTCACCTGGAATTATCCTGTCCAGCTGTAAAACCCTTACTGTGTTGGATGTAGAAATTTACAGCCACGTTAAGTCGGTTTTGGGACATTGAATCCGATGCATTGTTTCGGATGAGTGCCTCTTCATGGTAAAAACCATCCCAACAACCTTTTCAGAGATCCTGTCAGAGTTTGCACATTTGTCCGAATACTGTTTCGTAAAACAATCTCCTGGTGTTGAAGTAAATTTTGAGATACACCCTGGGTATATTTCCCTTTACTTTATTTAACATTGCAATATTAAAGTCATTATTTTCATAGTTTTTTTAATCTGATAAAACTTCATAGAATTTACGGAGAGCGGGTACTCAACGTACAAATTTGAGTACAGACGTCAAGCTGGTGTTTAAACGCCCCTCCCTATTCATATATTGATTTTTGCACAATTCACATCCCTTAAATATATTTCATAGGAAATTTCGAACCCATTCATATATTTCCCAGCTATTAGCTAGACAAATGTAAAGCAGGAAAAGGTCCGAGGGAGTGCTGTTCGAATAGAGTTGTCTTCCCTTGCCTTCAAAACGTTAATAACTGTTTATCTTCTATTGTGTTTTTATGGGGGTCGGAATCTTTTGTTTGTAAACTTTTGATATCTTCGTGCATTAAAGGGATTCTATCTTTTTTCAGATAAATGGGGAATTCTACCTCACTCGTGTGATTCCTTCTGTAAGTGTGTCCCTCTTTTTGGACACTTGTTCCTTCGAGGCCAGCCGCTGGTGAATAAAATACAATGATGTTTCAATAATTTAATCCAAACAGCAATCTAAATCGAAGTGTGATATTTGATCTATCTATTTAAATAGAAAACTTTATTTTTAACAGATTCATATTAATAAAAAAATCTCTATTATAAATTTAAGTTAAGTTTTAAATATCTCACTTTATTTATTAAATCAGAAGATATATTCTTATTTTAAATTAAATTAAAATAGTTTAATATTAAATAATTTACAAACCTGGTGGACAAAATACAATGTTGATTCAAAGATTTCTTCAAAACAGCAATCTAAACTGATGTGTGATACGTATGTGATGTTGGAAGTTTTCGGGCTTCCCTGAACTGTTTTATTCACCTATGTAATTTCAGCGTCAATTTTAAATTTTCTTAAGTTACGTTTTATTGGTCAATTATTCTTTTTTATGTTATAGATTTATATGATTGACACATATTTTATTTAGTTATGTAAAAGCAATTAAATGATGGATTATCAAAATCTTTACTTAATTAAAAGGATTATTTTAGTGGACAAAGACACATTTTAGTATCCTTTTCCTACGTCAAATTACAGAACATGCATTGGAATTCTTTCAGAAGATGACAGTTTATTAACTTGATTTCTCAACGTCAGTTTAACAGCTATAAGCAAAATAACTCTAGAAATTATATTTTTAATATGTTTAGCTATATCAGAACCAATAGACGAAATTATCTATCACTTAATCTTACGACATCCATTCTGTCTCAAAATGATATCAATGCAATATATTTCAAGTTTAATATTTCACAATTTTATTTATTCATTTATTTATTTATTTCATTTAACTTTATTTTACTTTTATTTTCCAACAAACAATTTTCCTTCATTTATATACAAACAATATGTACGTGACATCTTAATTTGATAGTAACCACACGGGATCATTCATTTTAATTACATAAACAGATCATTTCACAGTTTTACATGATATAATCACACTTACATGAATCATTGTTGCAATTCTGACATTTTGTTGTCAAATTTCAGAAAATGACATAATGTACCAACATATAAATGCTTTAAAATCATGGCTCAAAACCGTAATTTTGGTAAATTTGGTAAAAAAATATTCGTTAAAAAAAAAATAATACGGACGCGTATTCGCGCCACACAAACTTTTTTTATTTTATAGTTTTGCGTTATTTCGCAATGGTTTGTGGTATATATATATATTTTTCAGCGTTTCGCAGTATAGCGGAAAAATACTGTCTTAAAGTTTCTATCATATTTTGTATGGGTCAATGATGTATGATTTGATAGGTCAGGTGACCTAACGTTTTGTTATGCTAATTTGTTTTTCGCGGGTTCGTGGAAAAATTGTCTAGGTGGTCATTCTAGCCGTAGACATCGTACAGTTAAAATGTCGGAGCCGGTACAGCTAGATTCTTTGATAAAACAACGTGTGCAAGAAGCTGTTTCAACCGCACAGAATGATATCGTTCAACACATGGACAGGATTATTAAAAGCAGTTTTGACGCTTTCCAAAAGTCGACGAACGAAAATCAACGACAATTATCAGAAACACAACTTGCCAAGATTGAAGAGATGAATTCGGACAATTACGTTTTCAAGAGAAAGGGGAATGAAGAACAATTTAAAGTAAACTTCAAAGTTGCCAACAAGATGAAGGAAGCTAGATGTTTTCTGAGGGAAGACCCGGAGAAAACCGGACAGAACCAAAAAGCAGCACAAAGTATAAGTGAAGGTTTGGATATTTTACGTCATAGACAAAAATTAGTTAAATTGGCAGACCAATCCGAAAATGGCTGGAAAACAGTGACAGAATATGAAACTCATAGTCTGGCCGACGACTCTGAAGATGAAAAACGAATCATCAGAGCCGAAAACAAAGCTGCACGGAAAATTAAGAACGAGAAACAAAGTAAACAGCATAGATCAACCCCTTACAGTACCTCTCAATCGTCGAGATTTAATTCCAACGCACCTAGAAATAATGTTCAAGTTCAACCCCCAGGGAAATGTTATGAATGTGGTATTCCCGGACACTGGAGGGTAGACCATCAAACTGGTGCTTTTGGTGCAGCAATGCAAAGAAACAAGAATGACAAGATAAGTAAACATGTAAATAGTTTTGATAAAACTGTAGACAACTTTGATAGTTTTGACAAAAGCACAATTTCAAATGAGACGCATTCACAATTCGTCAAGCTTGATAACACATTTAAAAGTACAGTTACAAAGGTGAACTCTAACGATTCGCCGGTAGACAGGTTACGCAACGCTTACACTTATTGGCAAAGTATAAATGCAAACGACTATATTTTAAGTATTATTAGAGATGGTTACAAAATTCCGTTTTATACAGAACCTGAAAGCTGTATTTTAAGGAACAATAAGTCAGCACTTGATAATTCAGAGTTTGTTGAATCCGAGATCACTAAGTTAATAAGTCGGGGTTGTATATCTCAAGTACCCGAGTTACCTAAAGTAGTCGATCCTCTCACAGTTGCGAGGAATAAAGAAAAAAGAAAAACTCAGACTAGTTCTTGACTGTAGGCATATAAACCCCCACTTACACAAATTTAGGTTCAAATATGAAGATGCCGTTGAAGCTAGTCATATGTTCGAAAAGGGGGACTATTTATTTACATACGATCTTCGCTCAGCATATCATCATATTGAAATATTCGTAGATCAAAACGTACTTAGGTTTCAGTTGGTTTCATGAACATGAAAAAGTAACCAAAAACTACGTTTTTAACGTATTGCCTTTTGGTATAAGTACAGCAGGATACATATTTACTAAGGTTGTTAGATGCATTGTAAAATATTTAAGAGATCAAGGATTACAGATTATAATGTATCTTGATGATGGCATAGGTGGGGCAAGTGAAATTAGTAAGGCTAATTTCTGTAGCTTAACTGTACGTTATGCTTTAAGATCGGCTGGTTTTTTAATAGCCGAAGAAAAGTGTGTTTGGG